GAATCACTGCTCTGGAAACTCAATGGCATAGGATCTGGTTCTCTGCCCTGCTGTTATGTAGAAACTCTGGCCTGATCTAAACGCATAACTTGTCTCATTTGTCAGTGAGTGACCCCCTTTGTCACGATTTTGCTTCTCTCATTCCACTTAACTGTCTTAGTACTTTACAAACCCAAGTTACAAGCAGGCCTCAATAACACAACCCTACTAAAACCACTTGTGTACCTAAGATCCGACATCAATGTCCCATCTGGAGAAGACAGGAAAAAAACTAACACCTGCACCCCACCCTTGGTGTCACACTCTAATCTCTACTCACTTGCCTAGCTCCTTTGCTCAACAGGCAAGCAAGGCATGAGAATTTAAGGTAATCCCAACAGAGATGTAAAACATTTCTATTCTATACCAATCAAAGGAATGGACCTTTCAACAAAAAACCTAAGCGAATTTCAAAATACATGAAAATTATACATCGCACAATAACTCTGTCCCTAGTTGAAAATGGACAGCTATTAGAATTCATAGCACCCAATGCCAGAAACAAGCAAAGAATCTCTCACAGCCACACTGACACATGGTCTAGCCTATGTTACAAAATGTTTTATAAATTGTGAGACGGCCTGTGGGAGAGAAAAACCACAATGCTTAATTTCTCCTCTCTATGATTAACCAAATTTCAAACTAAATGAATTTTCCTTTATTAATTTATATTAGTAAATTTGTATGAAAACAAGGAATCAAGGAAGTAAACTCAGATCTATTTGTCCAGGAGCAGTTTGGAGTGAAGTCAGCTATGAGGAAAGTCCCTGGCTGCAGTTTCCTCATGCTGCAATAGCAGTGCAGGTGTTCTTTACCGAAGCAGCGACCTTGAGGAACGATGCTGTCCATAGAAGCACATGTGTGAGCTGGTAAATGAAATGAATTGGGGGGTTATAACAAATACTGTAGTCATTCAGGTTTAGGATTTAGAGAGTTCCTAGAGAGCTCTTGCCGTTTAGAACATGGTTTGCTTTGTGCACTTGGTTCCAATTTTGAAAAAAAGATTCGTAGAGATGTCTGCCATTTTAGAGGCTCATTTAATGTGTTTTCTGAATGACTATCTGGTTGTTACACCAAGACTTAGATTCTGTTGGGCATGCTCATATTGTTGTCGTATAAGTCCTTTTCGGACGCCCCTGTCTTTATGTTTTGGCTTCATCTTCATGTTCAGCTTGTGAAAGCCATGTGGATACCTTCTGAGTGATTTTGCAGTAGCAGATGCTATGAAAATAGTTCCATATCTCCTGTCTGAGGTTTGAACGCTAGTTGAGTAGTAAATTTTTGTACTGTGGAATAAATACTGTAAAGCCCAGTGTGTTAGGGAACTTAGCTGCTTAAATTTGAATATAGACAAATTTGGAAAGATTTCTGTTGTTAGCATGGGAAGCACTATGTCTTGGCTATCCTTGTGACTCAAATGAAAAATTTCTGGAGACTAGTTCTTTTGTGATCTACTGTTGCTCTATGAATTAATATAACTATTTATATGACGTAGGAGTATTGGTTCCTCATAAGTGACTCTATAAAGGAGAAAACCAAACTTCCAATTAATATTCCCTTAAAAAGTTATCTCATTGAAGATCCCTAGGACTATGAAAAGAATAGAATACACCTCACTCCAGTCAACTTTGGGTGCTCCTCTGTAGGCGACACTATTCTTACTGACAGTATCAGGGTCTGCAGCCCCAGGTGTAGTCATGACACAGAAGAGCACATCCTAAGAACTCTCCTGCCACAGACACACAGTTGGAAGGAATTAGAACTCATCTGAGGTTGCACATAAGACTTCCCTACACTACCCTCTTAGTGGACGATTTCAACGAACTTAAGCATAGGTCTACTGGATGAAAATACCACTCAACTATTGAGTGCTATCCTAGCATAGTCCCTCATTTAATATCCAACAGTGCCAAAAAAACTTCTACTGTTTATAAAATTTTTAAATTATTACTTTATCTGAAAACTCTTTATATCACTGTCATTTCTGAAAGGTAGTCTAGCGAATGTATAATATTTATGAATAAACCTTTCTCATTCCATGTGTTTCTTGATTATCAGCATCATGGATTCAGAGAAAAGCTTCCAAAACATTAGACTTTGTGTTCCTCTGGAGGTAGCACAGCATTTCCTCTTGTCTGGTTTGGAGATTATGTTTTATTTTCATTTTTTTCCTAGAATATTATTTCACTGAATGTCAGTGAGGACAACACTGGATGTATCCTGACTGAACTTGGTGAGATTTTTGCATCTGTAAGGTTTTACCTTCTACCAAAGGGGAAAAGTTTTTAGCTATTCCTTCTTTTAAGAGTTGGGCAACACCATTCTCCTTTTCACCTTTTTTTGGAACATATTGGTATGTTTTCTTGGAGCTCCTCTTGTCATCTCACTGACCATGAATCCAATAATAGTTTAATTTCAAAATTCCTTTTCATGTTATCTTGCTGTTTTTATTACTACAGCCTGTAAAATTACTTGTAATCTGGCATGGTAATACCTCCAACAGTTACTTTTTTAATGTTTTAGTTGGTTTTGCTTCCCAGATTCTAGATTGTTTTCATTATCTTGTGTCTTTTGTGTACCCTTATAAAACATAAGTTTATTTTTTCTTTTTTTTCTGAAGAATTGGGCTAGAATTTTTAATGAGGATAGCATACCTAATTATTAGTGCTTATTAAAAAGAATTCCAAAAACCCTATAGTTCAACTGAATGTGGCAGAAGCTTCACAATATTCTTGCTTCCATGTTTTAATGGGCACATATTGATACTAGAGCCTTGAGGCAGAGATATTTTGTACCACAGGAAAAGAAACATTCTACATGGGAAAGCATTGGTTTTGTGGGGCCTGGGAGTTTACCTTCACACTCTTATTACCAATAGAGGACCACAGTCATAATATGAGAAGTTTTGGTGACTCTGATTGACAGATATTGACACAAAAAATAGGTTTGTAAAATAATATAGAATTTATTATAGGAAAAGAACGTTGCAAGAATTTTGATGTCATCGAATGAGAGTTTATCTGAAAAGACTGACAGAGGAGCAGATGAAATGTTTATGGGTTTCAGATGTGTTGTGAGTTGTGAGACACAGTTTACTGAAGGGAAGAAAAGATGCAAGTGATTGGCACTGGACCTGCAGCTGTGAAAGGTTCTCCTGGGTTTGGAATGGCCTCATTGTGCTGACTAACAGAATTGCCATTGTTTTCAATGTTTCTCATCTGTGTAGATGCTACAAAGGCAATATAAAATTATAGATTTCTTAGTGCCTATTGTAAAAAAGTGCATCTGCTGAATAAATACTTAATTTAAAATTAATTCATAGCAATCTCAAAATTAACTGAAAGAAACAACAGTAAGAGATGAACATAAGTGAGAACAATTAAAGTATTTAGGTTGTCTTGTGACCATAAGATGATTTATATGATACAGTGTTCACATTTCCACTGCAAACACCTTCACTGGGTGAATGAGGTGTTGGTACACATGGTGTGTACCAAAGTTGGAGAATTACTTTGAGGGGGTCAACTGTAAGTTGAACTTAGCACATGACCAAAACGAAGCCATTACAGAGCCAGCCTGGAGTAGATCAAGTACCCAGAGCCAGTGAAATGAAGGAATGTAGCAAGTGCTATGAGCACCATCATGTACTTAATTTAACCCTGCCAAAATCAGGATGTCTGGGTCTTGCCAGCTGCTTGGCCCCTTTGAGATGCCGAAGGATGAGGAAGCCAAATGACTTGAGAATAATTCTGTATTCTCAAGAGCTAATAAGTAGCGACACACACAACCTGTTGATGACACTTAGAGGCAATTGTTGTAAACTCAATGGGATATTTTCACACATTTATAAGCCTTATTGTTGTTTCTAGGAGAGCCCCGAAGCTGAATTACAAAATTAATTTCCCTTGTGTTGAGAAGGTAGCAGTAAATCTTCAGAGACCATGAAAACCCCATCTGAAAATTAGCATTATATAATGAGATGCTTTTTGTCCTGATTGTTTAGACAGTGAGGCCTCAAAGGCCCGCCATAAGGCACATGCTCTGTTGTTACGTACATCAAAACCAAATGAGATAAACCTGCTGATGAAGATATAATAGGCTCTTGTTTTAGGATATGGATAAATAAGGCTGGGCTGAGCTAGGAACTCCCAATGTACCAGCTGATTTGATAATTCCAAATATACTAGGCAGAATACTGAAGTATCAATAATTGACTTGATAAGCTGTATATTAACACAATAATCAATCTAAGCAAAAATTATGATTACTATTTCAATAGTGGCATCACATTCACAGTGCAACCAACTAACCGCATTCTGACTTGGGTTAAGACTTGTTCAAAATGGGAACCCATGTTTTGCATTCTAAGCCATGCTAAAAATCTATGACTGAGGAGGTTCTAGCCTTGTCCACCTGGAAGACTTTCGTGGCTATTTTGATAAACAGATGTGGTATGCCTATGAACTTTTCAAAATATATTTATATCACATATGACTCTCTTGCTGTTAACCTTGTAGCAAAGACCAATTCTATAGTGGTTGATTGTTACTGAGAGAAAATTATTATCAATTAGAATGGTGATATTATATTATCGTTACTGTGGCATGGTGGCCCAACGCTCATAAAGGAAATAAAATAAAGTTTGTCACACAATTTTCAGGAAATGTTGCTGAAGAGTTGACAGAAGACTGTAAGAGCCCGAGGGAAAAGACGAAGTGTTAGGAAATTGCTACATTCCTCTGGAGTGACATCTGGGAGTGATGATCCCGCTATGATAAAACTGAAGGCTGACTGAGTGTAGAAATAAGGAAAACAATATAGATGAAGCTAGGGCTTTCATTGTGGCGATAAGACTGTCAACACTTCCTGAGGAGTCAGGGTCATGGGACCCTCACCTGGGATTCCAAATATCATTTTTTTTCCACAGCCCATCTCTGCATATCTTTGGGAGTGGTCTGATGGACTATATAGGTGGTGGACAGTTAACCGAAGGCGGGATTCTGGTGAAGTGGCCTTCTTCAGTTGGTATCCACACTGCAGTGGTTTTCTCAGAGATGTGGCTGTCTTTGTCTCAAGCCCACTCCTGTAAGTATTTCTTCACTTATGCTCATCCAAGCTGAATGAATTCATAACTTTGCACTAAAGTATGCATGGATGAAATACTTTCTCGGTTTCCTGTAGTACTTAGGAAAAATTTATAATCTTCATTATAAAAGGCACAAGACACAGTACACTCTTCCATCAACAGTTCAGAAAAGATTCTTTTGTGCTCCAGAGAAATGTAGCAATTTCTATGGTTTGTGTTGTCTGGATTGGCGTGAACAGAACAAGGTATTCATATTACTAGCATCTCTTGAGTAGAAACACATCTCCAATGCTCAGGACAGCCTCTGGACAAGGAATGGGCCATCTTAATATGGGAAATCATCTGGACTGAGAACACAGGAATGAAGAGGTACAATTTATAACAATTCCAGAATGAAACCGGTATCCTTTTCTGGTTCCAGGTCACTGCTCTGGACCGACTGACTTGAATCAGCCTATTGACACTTTCAGTTCTCAGCCTAACATAGACAACAGTCACAGATGTGTGTCTTATACTCTCCTGAGAAATTGGCTCAAAACAAATGAGTTTGTAAAACATAAAGTGCCATGTATTGGCCTTTAAATTTTTTATACTATATTAGGAAAGCTGAATGAGTACATATATGTATGTAACAACAATAAATGAGAAAATCGACCATAACTTTAAAAAGAGAGCAAGGAAGGGTAAATGGGAAAGTTTGAGGGAAGGAATATGAAGGGGAATTGGTATACATACATTATAACTTCAAAACGTAATAGAAATAGAAATAACTGAATTTGTAACAACTAAGAAATTTATGAAATTTGAAAACAAAAGAGTAACATATCTAGACTGATCATATCTCTTCAATGAGCAATAGAAGATGTATGTGTGTGTACGTGTGTACGTGTATGTCTGTCTGAGTGTATTTATCAAGTATAAATTAACCCATTAAAACATGTTTTTTTGAAAATTGAGATAATGTTAATTTTGACAAGAGTTTAATTTTATACTTAGAAGGGTTGGTTAACTAACTTTCACACTGAATAACTTTTCTGATATTTTTTTTTAAATTCTTTGGAGTATTTGAGATTAGATGTTTCCCACACCTTAATCTTAATAATTCCCTCCTTTAACTTTGGACATTTCAAATTGCTTCCATCAAAGGTTCTGTTAAACTTAGATTCTAAGATTCACGGGTTTTTACATCATTTTGGATTTTTGTTTTGGGAGAGGTTTTTCTCATTTGTTCAGGTTTTTTGCACATTTTTGCTTTCACGGGTATGCATTTGTATTACGTGTGTTTGTATTCATATTCTCAGGCATGTGCGTGATCCTTGGGGCTAGAGGTTTATGTCAGAAATCACCTTCAATTGATCTACCTTATTTGTTGAGGCATCTCAAGTGTAATCACAACCTACCCATACGGTTAGTTTTCTATGGTATCCTCTAGTTCTGCCCTTTAAGAAACTGGACTTCCCAAGGGCCTCCATCCACCAGGCATTTGCTTAGATTCTGAGAATTGTAATTTCAATCTTCATACCTTATGGCAGAAATTTTAAATACTATGCCCCAACTGGTCCTCGTGTTTTTATTTCTGAAAATTCTCTGTGGTTGTATCACTAAGGTCTATAAGGTCTTTTTAGCCAGGCAGTGAAGTACACACCTTTAATCCCAGCACTTGGGAGGCAGAGACAAGGGGATCTTTCTGACTTTGAGGCCAGCCTGGTCTACAAAGCGAGTTCCAGGACAGCCAGGGCTACACAGAGGGACCATGTCTCCAAAAATAAAATAATTAAAATTTTAAAGAAGAAAGAAAAGAAGGGAGGAAGGGAAGGAGGGAGAGAAGGATGGAGAGGGAGGGAAGGAAGGAGGGAGGGAGGGAGGGAGGGAGGGAGGGAGGGAGGGAGGGAGGGAGGGAGGGAGGATGTTGTACATACTTGATCTTTCCTCTTGGAAGAACAAATGACTAACGTTTTAGAGGTCTATCACCTGATGGGATCAGCACAGGTCATTGTCACAAGTCTGAAAAGTTGGAGTGATCAGAGCAGAGGTCTTAGCACCTGTCTGACCGTGTCATGAATGGTACGTCTTGAGATGATTTTCATAGTGGATGACGTTTGTTCTCCCAAGTCGGCTCAAATGTACTAATCCGTACAAAAGAAGTGATAGACAAGGCTTCCCTAGACAGCATAACATGTGAAACTTCACTTGGAAAAAGACCACATAAGTGATTTCTTTCTTCACGCCAGGGACCCTCCTGCTGCCGCTCCTATCGAGCATGCTTCTGTGGGAGAATGTGGCGTGTGTGCCCATGTGTAAAGCGGTAAATGGGCGATGCCAGTTGACGCTCGAGTACTTGTTTAATCAAGCCCGTGGCGTGTCTAAGAGCACCAAGCGCCTCACTTCGGAAATACTCAATGAGTTCGTAAGTACCTCCCTTACGGTCGGCTTCTCCCACGAGGAGCTTTCACAACAGCAGCTCAGCAGAGAAGCCCTGTGATCCAAACATCATATAACACATCTTCATGGGCACAAGAAACAGAACCAGAAGAATGGAACAATTTGGTGAAATCTTTAAGTTTAAAGGGGAAGTATTTTTTTTAATTTATTTTTTTAATTTATTTATTTCTTTATTAATTAATTAAAGATTTCTGTCTCTTCCCCACCGCCGCCTCCCCTTTCCCTCCCCCTCCCCCAATCAAGTCCCCCTCCCTCGTCAGCCCAAAGAGCAATCAGGGTTCCCTGCCCTGTGGGAGGAACATGGGATGTACTCACTCATATTTGGTTTCTAGCCATAAATAAAGGACATTGAGCCTATAATTCGGGTTCTTAGAGAAGCTAAATAAGAAGGAGAACCCAAAGAAAAACATATAGGCATCCTCCTGAATATTAACCTTTATCAGGCGATGAAAGGAGACAGAGACAGAGACCCACATTGGAGCACCGGACTGAAATCTCAAGGTCCAAATCAGGAGCACCAGGAGAGAGAGCACGAGCAAGGAACTCAGGACCGCGAGGGGGGCACCCACACACTGAGACAATGGGGATGTCCTATTGGAAACTCACCAAGGCCAGCTGGCCTGGGTCTGAAAAAGCCTGGGTTAAAACCAGTCTCGCTGAACAATGAGGACTACTGAGACCCCAAGAACAATGGCAATGGGTTTTTGATACTACTGCACCTATTGGTTTTGTGGGAGCCTAGGCAGTTTGGATGCTCACCTTACTCAGGGGGAAGTCTTTAAGTGATTTTTTTCTCTATAAGAAATTTCTATATTTTATATTATTTTTTAATTAAAAGTTTTCCACTTGTGATGGGAAACCCTACAATGTTTGACTGAAAAGACTCTCTACCATCTTTTTGGGGTATGCTAGGTGCCAGTCCCCATCAGCATTTTTCACTTAGTGCACAACAGATACCCAATAAGGCAGAACGGGTTGTAGGGGAAGGCTAAAATTAAGAAGAGTTACAATTAGAGAAATAATGCTGGAAGGAGAAAATCAATAATGATAACAGCAATAACTACAGCTTCTCAGAAATCCCCAAACTTGGGAGACGTTGAAAAATATGAGTTTACCATTTTGAAGGAAACATTTTAGCAGCTGTAAATAGGCTCCGCCTTCTGGATGAAGAGGCTTTGCTCCCTCTAAGTCAGTTCAGGTGGTAACAATAGACAAGAACGTCAAACAACAAGGACCGTGCAGCATAGGTCTCTCGCATGTGTAATAAACACATTCATCTAGTTCTACTTAATCACCAGAAAGTTTCTCATTCTGTAGTCTTGACTGGCAGCCTTCCAACTTGTTAGGTACCCTAGTGGGTCACTAATCTTTACAATTTTGCTCACTATAAAAATTCAAATAAAGGTATTTTAAATAATACATTTAACAAAAGAAAATTTCAATAAATATTGATAATAGGAAACATTGAGTATATTATTTTTATTTTCGTATTTCATTGTACGATATTTCTAAAAATTTTATGCATGAGTTTTCCAATGACGGATTCTGTTATAATCATCAAATTACAGTTTGAATTTTTAAGGAAATTCTACGGTCAAGGTGTACAGACTCAGTGATAACAAGTAACAGGAAGCTGGGGGTCACAAGCACAGATACACACTCACTGTGCCAATGATGTTCCAGGAAAGAGCATTGTTAAAACACCAAGTGTTTTGTAGTTATGGGGTTTTTTTGTTTGTTTGTTTTTCTTTCTTTCAAATAACAACTTTTTAGAAAGCATGGGAAAGCAAAAGAATGATAACTCAGAGAAGTTAACAGGATTCCAGGGTAGTGGAACAGTGATATTACTGATCTGACTCATTAACTACACCAACGCATCATTTTCCTCATTCCTAAATTTAAATATTTTCATGTAGTGCACACCCTTTAAAAGTGAACATAGACCAAATGCATTAATGTACGACTCATGGATTCATTGACTCACTTCTCCAGTTCCCTAATGGTCTCATCATTTCCAGGACAAAGAGTATGCCAAAGGTCCAGGCATCAAGGACAAAATTCCCCTGCTATGCTACAACTATTCCCTCCCTGTTCCAGATAACACGACAGAAGACCAAGAGATTCAGGTGAGGCCCCAGTCTCATTGTCTCATCAAATCAACTGAAGTAGGAGCCCAGCTCTGCCAAGCTGCAGGTCATGACAGAAAAAAGGAAGGAAACAGAGCAATCCATGGGGAAAGCTTACTATTCCCACCCAATGTTGTTGCCTTCTCCTTGGGCTTTACATCTTGGGGAATACTGTATGTGCTGCACAGGCGGCAAAGATGGCATCTGGTTCAAGGCTGACACATTAGGCAACCTGTTAATAGTAAATATGACACCCTCCCATCCTGTTCCTTACTCTATCAAGTTTAATGCACCGCACATATATTTTGTGCTCTTTGATGATTTTATACATTGGCTATGCACATTCTGTGCATCTGCTTCACATATCTGTAACTGTAAACATGAGGGAAAGGGAAGGAAGAGGCTATCTTTAAAAAGTAAAGGAAGAGAAAATCTATTAAGATCTAATTCGTGTCTAGACACTCACAAATCACTGTATGAACACTGCTGCTAATGATCCTCAAAACATTGCAGAACACAAGTGACAAACACTATGCTAGGTATCACATGCAATTCAACCTGCCGTTTTTTTATACATTTTAATGGGATGCTCAATTGTTTTTGCCTAGCCTGAGGTCCTTCTGAAAGAGACCATAGGTATGTTGACTGTCTGGAACAACACCCTGAGGCATGTAATAACAGATATTGCTGATCTGGAGTCAATCCCCGGTGTTGGTGCTTTCATTTCTAAAATCAGAGAGACAGTTTCAAAATTAACAAGACTCGCGGGACTACTACAGGAAGTCAAGTCATTACGCAACCTGGTAAGGTCCCGCCTTTTACTACTTGGCTTTTCTCATTCGTGAAAGCTGCGACCCTGGTAGAGACAAATGCTTTTGAAGTATGTCTCCTGGGAGAGTGACATAGACAGCCTCCTGCCTGAGGGGTTGTTGGCAACTCCAACGTTCTCAAAGGTGTTTCACTCAGCACCTCACAGCCAGGGCTTCAGGAGATAGGGATTTCTCCTCACAGTAATTTGGACAGTGCCCTTCCTGGACAGAGTGAACGTCTCTTGAGATTTCAGGAGATCTCACACCATCACTGGTCTGTCTGCATCTTAACCACCAAGAACAGTCCTTGTCATTTCTGTGACTTTGTTTCCAGATATTAGCTGCTGGGTAGATTTGATGGAAAGCAGGAAGAAGAAAATGGTGAACCAACAAAATCAAGATACACAAATGATACCTCAGAGACAACACCAAAGATATAGGAAAGGTCATTCTTGGGAGAGCTAACACTAGTTCCTTTATTGTCCTTCACTCAGACCCACATCTACAGTCAAGTAGCAACTTCTATCTATTTTTGTAAGACATACTCCACCTAGGACCAGCTGCATGTCCAAAATATATATGGGGGATCTTGGCTCTAGTTTCCAGATAACTAACAGATCTACAGCTGCCTCTTTTAGACCCATGAAAATCCATATTTTGGGATAAAGATTTCCTTTCCTAATTTTCTCCCAAATATTTAGTCAACACTTGAAAGCACTATAGAATAATAATTATTGACATTACAATTAATAAATGCTTATCATTTCATGACTAGATTCGTCTTGAATTTGAGGAAGATGCAGATGACCTTACCACAAATGGACTGCCATCTTTACATCTGTTAGACAATTCTCCTTTATTTTTCTACCATGTCCTCCTTGGCTGCATGAATTATAATGCAGAAAGGATCGCCATTCATGTCAATATCTTGAGATGTCAAATGATGCCCAGAAAATGCTAAGTCTGCATTCTATTTATTCTGAAATGCTCAGAAACAGAACAATGCTACAGTGACTCATCCCTCCAAACATTTTTGTACAATTTATGCCTTTTCCATGTCTACTGATGAATTCTTGGGCTGTTAAAAACTAATGCTTTAAAAAATATCACGTCTGAAAACATAAATTTGTAACTGTTTTTTTTGTCAATTTACTAACAAACATATCAAAGGCATTGAGATTTTCCTATCAAAATTTGCTGTATGTTATGTTTTTCTTGAAAACAAGATACAATCCAAACTGATCTAGAATCACTGTTAGTTAATGCAAGTCAAGTGAATGGAATCGAGGAGGGACATGTTATTCTAGAAATAACATGGGACTCCTGGGATACTTTATGACAACCAGCACCTACTACCATGAGCCAATTTTCATATTGTACTGAAAAAAAATACAAGGATAATGCACTTCAATATCCCTTATATATATAATATATTATAATATATATTATATATATATTATATATATATATATAGTCAATTCAGAAAGTTCTTGGATCCAAAGAAATAATGGCTCTAAGTATCTGCAAGGACTGTCTTCAGTCATACTCCTCTGAATTCTCATCTGCTCAGTATCATCTTCGATAAAGCCACATGTTATCTTTACCTGGGGTCGAGCAAGGCTTCTCCAGGCTAATTTTCACTTCCTCAGTACACTGCTTAGGTACTTTTCCCTCATGCTCTGATGCTTCTAGTCGCTTCCAGTTCTGACATTGTTATACCAATGTAAATCCAGAACTGCCCATACTACTGTCCTTGCCAGAATATTTCCACTTACGTGACACTATCACAGCTGGATGGAAGATTAGAAGGAATGGGCAATTCTTATAGTCTTATGGTGTAAGAGCATTAAAAGCTATCAACTAAATTCTCTATTAGTGGCAGGTACCTCTCTCATAGAACATATTAATGAGTAAATAAGATTATTATAAATTGGCATCCCTACTCCTCACCTCTGCTGTTTGTGACCTCCTACAGTCTCTGCTTGCTATCCCATTGCTATAAAAACCAAAGTGGCTCAAAGTTTATTTGCCACCTGATTCAGAGGAATCTCATAAATCACAAGCACTCACTTCTCAGCCATAAATCTGCACACCGCTGACCTCTCCATTAGGTTTCTAACACTTTCTCTTTTTCTCTTGTTCAGATGGACACAGAGTAGATCAGAAAGTCAAATTCATTATAACTAATTTTCCCGAAGGGTGAAGTGCAATTCTTCCCTTGATTTTATCCCCATGTAATTTTCTCTATTAACAATCAGCCTGGCCATATATACAGATTTTCTCATCAAGGTCACAAATTAGAGCACCCATACTCGCTGCCACAATCCCTAATAGTCCATGTCCTGAGTGTGGAAAAGCATTATGGGTGAGGATATTGCAACCCATTAACTGCCTTCAAAGCAAGTGAGAGGCCGATTTAAATGTCAGATATCCTTGAAAGTGGCAATGTCGGGCTGTCTTTCTACAACAAAGAACTTATGGAAAGAGAAGAAAGGAGAAAAGATGACGAAACCTAAAATGTATGAGAGACAGGATATGGACTTAACTGTCATTAGATTACCAAACTCAGGGAAACCTATTGTCGTTTTTAAACTTAATATCAGATACCATCTCATGTTCTCCTTTTCTTCCCTTCTCCCTTGCTTTTCTGATAATTTCAGTTAAACTTAAATATTCTTTTCCTTAATCTGTTGAATTACAATAGTTCTAGGGCAAGCAACACTAGAGGGTTATGTACGGAAATATTCAAAAAAATCTGCCATATTCCAAAATTGCCAGACTTGCAGGAATATTGTCCAGCAAGAAGACCTTCTTCCCACAGATCTAGTGTTATTTTTACTCTCAGTCATGATCCTGCCTTTGACTGAGATGATTTAATTATCTCTGCACAGTCCCGTGCTATAAACTCATCTCTGACCTCTTCAGTGTCTGTAAAATGTCATCGCACTGCTATAATTCAGCCTGTGACCATCAAAGTTGGGAGAGTTGGTGGGAGTCACGGATGTTTTATATCCAAGTTATTTATTATCCAAAGCAGAGAGTATACGTTTCCCACGTAACTTATTTCCTAATAACTTATACATATTTCCAAAACAAAGGATGGTAACGTAAGAGCATGGAAATTTGACAATACAATTTTATAAAATGCAATTTCAAGAGTGTTTTTCACAAGCATGGATACTAGACCTGGGTCAATCACTGAGGAAGTGAGGTAGAAAAGGCTTCTGTTCACAGGGACATTTCACTGAAATTGAGGTTTCATGGGGGACTAGTACAGATATTAGTGTTTTGTTGAGTCAATGAGCAGTAGTAAAGGGCTATGACAACAATGACCTACCCATACAGAGAGTCTCCTTCCTTCTCCTTTTTCCTTCCTCCTCCTTATTCTTTTGATTTCAACATAAGATAAAATTTGAATGAAACATTCTTCCATAGCCAGAATAGCATCAGTACTACCAAAACAAGACAAAATGAAAACAAATGTAGAAATTTATTATTTGCATAAAATACCAAATCATCCCATGGGCACCTTAACGACCAAGACTGAGCTTTAAAAATCTGTTCTCCAGGACTCTCAGCTGAACTTTTGAGAAAGGGTTTCAAGAAATGCCCATGGTAATTCTAACACTGGTAAAATAGGTGGTGTTACATGAAGGATCCGTGTCTCAGTGGTTCTAAAATTGGTAAGGAGGGCTACATGAAGGAAAAGTGACTCAAAGCACAGCAGGGCGGTTCCTGAACCTGAGACCAGTGCTCTTTCAGCAGTGCATGGCCAGCAGGTAAGAGACCTGTAGGCAGACTACACCACCACTGGCACCCACTGGTGGCACAAGACCCTGTTCCAGCATCCTCCCTGCAGACAGCCCTCTCTGGCAACATCAGCAGACCCTATAAATACAAGTGCCACCCACACCAATTGGAGGAACAGCAGTCCCTGTGGGAACAAGCAACACTTATATCAACTGGAAGAACAGAGGAGTGAACAACAATGTAAGAATATATTCAGCATGTTCCGGTCCAGGCACCAGGAGAGACATCACTGGGGTGAGTGAGTTTCTGACCGAGGCAGCAGCCCGGGACAGGGAACTCAGACACCACTCCTACACTTCCTGGTCATCCTCAGGGGCTACTCTGCCCGATACCTCCTCTCTCTTCCTATCCCACCCAGCTTGCACCCACAACCCTACCCCCACCTCCGTCTGACTCCCTTCCCTCTCTGACCACATAACATCTCCCAGCCCAGCCTGTTCGGGCTCTAGGACCGAATCCGAATCGGCAGGGCAAATGGGAGGGTGCTAGCTCCTTTGTCCCCACTAGCCTGCCTGCAGCAAGCTAGGTAGGTCCTTTGTTTTCGAGACACCTAGCAGCAAGGAGTTCCGGTCCAGGCACCAGGAGAGACATCACTGG